GGGGCGCGGCCCACTTGAAATATCATTAGAGCAGCTCCGCTGAGGCTGATAACAATGACAATCAATACGTTTACGATAATGTGCTTCGATTTATTGACAACCGGTATTTTAAAGAGAATATTTGTGTTTGTATTGCAGTTGGATAGCAATATGGCCTATGCCGATGGCAATAACGCGGAACAAGTTGTTAATCTTCCGGAAACGGCGGCCGCTATCAATGATAATAGCAATGGGCGAATCGATATAGTTAACAGTATAGACCAGCCCAGTGAAGAGCAGTCATCATTGGCTATCAGCGACCCGTTGAACATTCGCACAGAGCTAGAGGAGGCTATTCGGCAACCCTTCAAATTGGCAGGTGTCGGCATTGAATCGCATCTGCAGAATATGGAAACAGAGTTGGCAAAAGGGCAGCATTTCCATGGCGCTACCAACGAGCGGCAGGCTGCGGTTGTAGCGGCTTTTAAGCACTCTTGGGCTGGTTACAAGACTTACGCCTGGGGTCATGACAATCTAAAACCAGTTTCCCAAAGCTCACACGAGTGGTTTGGTTTGGGGTTGTCAATTGTGGACTCTCTGGACACAATGTACATCATGGGCTTGGAAGATGGTAGGCATAAAGCATATTTGTTGTTGAATTAATGATGCCACTCCTTATGCTTTTGTAGAATTCAATGAAGCACGTGATTGGGTCAAAAATTCTCTGCACTTTCACACGAATCGGGATGTGAATCTCTTCGAGGTCACCATACGTGTCCTAGGCGGACTACTGTCTGCTTATCATTTGAGCGGCGACAAGATGTTTTTGATCAAAGCGGCTGAACTGGGCAATCGCCTGTTACCCAGTTTTCTTTCGCCATCGGGCATACCGTATTCGGATGTAAATCTAGGCGAAAGGTCTGCACATTCGCCAAAATGGTCTCCGGATAGTTCAACCAGTGAAGTAACGACCATACAGTTGGAATTTCGGGATCTCAGCCGCTCCACTAATGTACCTATTTTTGAGCGTGTAAGTTTTATTCAATTATGTGCCCACAGTTAAATTTATTAATGGTAACATTGTCTGCCTGGTAGGTGGTAAACGTAGTTAACGATAAAATACATGCGCTGGATAAAAGTCATGGCCTGGTGCCAATATTTATCAATGCAAATACAGGAACCTTTAGGAATTATGCGACTATTTCCCTGGGTGCTCGTGGAGATTCCTATTATGAGTACTTACTTAAGCAATGGGTGCAAACAGGTCGCAAAGATAACGACAAGTGAGTAAGCAAAAACTATAAAGCAATGCACGTTTATTAATGTATGTCATTCATCTTTATTAGTCTTATTCTGGACTATATGCAAGCAATAGATGGCGTCCTCACGCAATTGATGAGACGCACGCCACGAGAGCATTGGGTTTATATTGGGGAACTGATAAATGGTCACGATTTTAAACCAAAAATGGATCATTTAACTTGCTATTTGCCTGGCACACTCTTGCTGGGTCATGAGAATGGCATGCCCGACTCACATCTACTGCTTGCTAAGGATTTGTTGGACACCTGCTATCAGACCTACATTAGACAGCCCACTCATTTGGCGGCTGAGATTTCGTACTTTGCGCTAAATGATAAGGATGACAGTGACATCTATGTGAAACCCAATGATGCTCACAATTTGCTACGACCCGAGTTCATTGAGAGTCTATATTATTTCTATGCACTTACCGGCAACCGCACTTATCAGGATATGGGCTGGAACATTTTCCAGGCTTTTGAAAAACATTCAAAGGTAGCTGCTGGCTACACATCTCTGGGCAATGTGAAAAATACTTTAAACACACGAATGCGCGATCTCATGGAAAGCTTTTGGATGAGCGAAACTTTAAAATACTTTTATTTGCTGTTTAGTGACAATCGCAAGGAGATAGACCTAGAAAAATGGGTCTTCAACTCCGAGGGTCATCCACTGCCCGTGTACCAACATTAATTGTAAATACGCAACCGAATTGCTTCATCAATACCAACTAAGATAGTTTATAAGGTTAGTTGAACCCCAGGAAGTGTGGAAATTTGGCGTTACCCCTTAGTCGTAGCTTAGCACAAATGCCAAATACAACGCCAAGCTTTGGATGCAAAATATATAAGTGCACTTGGCCAAAAAAAATTAATAATAATCAAAAATATGCAAAAAGAAAGCATGTCAATGATTTGTATAATATTCGTACTGATTTTAGCGCATTATTATTATTACTATTATTCATTTATTTACTATTTATAAGTACCGAAAACATGTTGCACCCAAAACTCTAGTACTCTAACTGCCGCAATGTTGATAATTATAATTAGGAATAATATCGTATATAACATATAGCAATATATAACTGGTAGGTACTTAGTACATGTGTATGTAATTTCCAATATGATATTGAATTTGTAAAACCCAGCACAACGCATTGTTTAGTAAATTAAACATTAGCCTGTTTTTAAAATAAAGATATATATAAAAAGTCTATTAATAGTATTGAAAATTGTAATATTGGATAAGGTGAAGTGAAGGAAGGTATGTTTGTTCACAGATACTGAGCTGAAAATTTTAATTAATCAGAAATTCGCCTCTATAAAATGTCAGATAATAAAAGACGCGTATTTAAAATTGTCTGAATTTTGTTTATTCTTATGAATACGTATTTTTCAATTTTTTTTATGCCTTCGATTTGCACATGCACCCAACAACATGCATTAGATTTGATTGCATTTTAATGGGTTTTGGTTTGTTTGTTAAAGTTTTGTTTTCAGTTTCAATTCGGTTTCTCGTTATTTGTTGCGTTTATTTTTTTTTTTAATAAGATTATGTACTTAATGTTTATGACGACTATGAATGGATGGGCTTAATAAACTATGAAATATTAAACTTGCTTGATTTCTCTTTAAAGTTGATACTGTAATTAAAACTCACAATGTTGCATTAAAAATCTTTGCTTTGTTTTGTTTTTTTTTTTGTTTTGTTTTTGTTATGTTTCATTAAATTACATTTAGACACATTTAGCTGAACCATTTATTATACGATATTGAGTTTTTTCTTTTGTTTTTTTTTTTTTTTGGTTTTTAGGGAGAGGTTCTGTTGAAGCCGATTTGGAGTAACCGCTTAGTTTAGAATATAAATTGAAACGATGCGTATATAAGTTATAAATTATACAATTTAATGAATAATTAATTGAATTGGGCTCCTAGCGAGTGATAAGTTCTGTTTGCATTTGCTTTCACCGGCAGCTATATTATCGAATGCAATTTTTCTTGACTAACTTAACTTTTAGCTATTACATATAAATTTTTATACAATTGTTTCATTATTTGTCTTTGTTTAACAACTAGAAAGTGTTGCGTGCGCATCTGTTTCATAAATCAATACAGATATTAGGGCTTGAGTAACTCGGGATCTAAACCAATTAAACTCGATATAGTAATACATACAGTTTGAATGGTACCGGTACCACTCAATCATTCACTTACAAGCTACGTGTCTTACGAGTACATCGTATTTTAGTCACATTCCATACCAAGAGTACTAGGTTTTGTAGTTGCTGGTTATTTTTCATATTTTGCTGTTGGGGTGGACTTATTTAAAGTAGTAGTATTTATTGTAACTGGCTTGCAATAATACGTGATACGGACGACCGAATACTCAAGTCAAACATTTTCTGTTTTGTGGTGTGAATCTAATGCGCGGCTTCCTAACATTTACATTATTTGGATTAAGTTCGTAGTTGTTGTTGCTTACGGTTTATGGATTCATGTATCTGTTCTAAGTTGTGTTACAAGCTAATCAGACATCGATATTTAAAACGTGGCACAAATCACAAATTAGATTTGTGGCAAGATGAAGATCAAGATACAGTGATACGATTCGTTTACAAATTGTTTTTTTTTTTCGTTTTGTTATTGCAAGTACAATTTACACACAACTCTATGCATTTATAAGTATATCATTTACAATTTATAAATGATTTAAACTAAATTTGCTAAAATTGTGATTTTTGCTTTTGAACTGCTTTTGGTTTGCTTCGTCGTTTGTCGTCATCTGTCCGAGTCGTTCGACTCTTGAAACTCCCTAAGACATATTTTCTTTGATGATGTCACCCGTAGTCAAAGCCAAAGTGGCGCTTGGCTTACAGCTTTCTAATTAATATTGAGCACATTAGTTATTCGAATTATTTATGCATACATGTGCATATTTTTCTCAGTGTGTTTTGTTTGTTAGCTCAAAAGCAGACAGACATTAAGCGTTTTTAAAATAATATTAATTTAAATTGCTTAGATTGAATTTATTAAATTATTTTTGTTTACTTTACGTATTTTTGCATGCTTTTTTATTCACATTTATACACTAAGAGCAAATCCTTTAATTTGTATTAAAAACTGCGATTGTTGAAACTGACGCATGCTTCACATTACATATATATATATATATATATATATATATATATATATAAATAATAAATAATTTAATGTATATGTGTACAATTTTGTCGTATTGTATATCGATTTTTGTTGTTGTATTGCATTTGTTCTCATTTCAACAAAATTGGCAACGTAGTTACAATTGTTTTGCATAATTCTAATTACGAATTTTGAATGCTCTCTCGACTGGCATATTCCTCCCAACCAACTTAATTGTGAATAACACAACCAATCACGTGCAATGATTAAGACGCGAAATGCGGCACACTTGATAGATACGCGCTCTGGCCCATCCGTATTAAATATTTTTGAACATAATGTTTTTTTTGCTCTCAGTTTTGGAGCTGTAACTTGGCATTGGAACTTATCAGATCAGATCACGTGTACAAAAAGCTTTATATTAAAAATCTCTATCAACAATTCAGTAAAAATGTTCGGACAATTTAAGTGTAAATTGGCTTTACAAACAATACTGTTTAGTACGTCGGCAAGCGTATTTACTAATCTTCGGCAGGCCAAAGCAATTTCTGTTCATACTTTTTTAGGTTTCTTTGATTGGTTTATGTTCCTTTTCACTTGTTCATTGTTAAGATATAATTTTAATAAATTTTCTAGGCATTTTTCACTTATTTATTGTAGCTATATAATTTGTATTACATTAGAATTCATTCAGTTTACTTCTCTAAGAAGCATTTCATGCTATTCGTCGTTTTGTTTTCAATTCTCTGCGTTAATTGCTTTTCACTATTGACTTTTAAGGACCTGCTGTCCCATAATAATGCATTCGATTGTGTGACTATAAATTTATACAAATAATTACCAGGCTGTTTTGTCATTATCTTTTAGTTTTTAAATATTGTACAAACACATTGGACTAAAAACGAAAACAAGAATTAATACAATTTATACTACACATTCAACTTAGATCTAAAATGAAAATAAAAATTGTACAGAGCAGGATGCTAAAATGTGTTAACTGTTGCCAAATGCATTCAGCACAGTGGACAACAACTAAAGAGAACATATAACATGCAAAAGGGAAGGGGTGTAGGGAGGGCAGGGGGGTCTTAATATACAATCAATGTGTTATTGCCTTGGGCAGTCCTTTACAAGGTGGTCGCGTTGAATTCCAGTATAAGACTGTTGGCTACTGTTGCCGTTGCCGCCGGCGGCAGCTCGGCAGCTATGTTTTGTGCCGCTCCATTTACTGTTGTTGTGGATGTATGCAGCCCAAGTCAAGAGGTCATAATCGACTTGACGGCATCATCTAGGCCAGCGGCCACACAGCTAAAGTCATTTAGCTGCGCATGGTGCTGAGGCTGTGCCTGTGACAAGCCATGATGGAGTTGCGCATGATGCTGCAGATGTGGCTGTTGCTGACCCAGATGACCCTGCAGTAGCTGCTGCTGTTGCTGCTGTTGTTGTTGTTGCTGCTGCTGCTGCTGCTGCTGCTGTTGTTGATGATGATGATGGTGATGATGATCGAGCAAAAGGTTGCCGCTGGCATCAGCAACGGCACTAACAGCTGGTCCGGCACCACCACTGATAAGACAATCGCCCATATCCTCCCCCAGCTGACGGCGCCTATTGTTCACCTCCTGCTGGCAGCTGGGCAAATTGGCCGCTTGCCGCTGATCGTCCAGTATACTGTCGCCCAGAAAAGAGCCCAATGAGAACTGTAACGAATCACCGCTGTTCTGCAGGTTGAGTATGCTGTCTATGGCACTGGCCACATGCCGACTAATATCGTCGTCGTACTCGCCAGTCACCACTGAATTGGCGCCCATGTGATTCACATGCAGCTGCGTCTGCTGTGGCTGCTGGAGCTGTTGTTGCATGCTGTGCTGGTAATGTTGATGCTGCTGTTGTTGCTGCTGCTGCTGCTGTTGTTGTTGCTGTTGCTGCTGTGGATCCAACAAGTTCGCGAAAGCCTGATGATTGGCAAAGCTATGTTGCTGCTGCTGCTGCTGCTGTTGTTGCTGCTGCTGATGTTGCTCCTCCATTAGCAATTGTGAAAAGGCAGCGGGCCCGTTAGTGGTCACGCCATCCACGCCCATGCCATCGTGCAGCGCTAACATGTCAGCATCTAGCATGGTATGTTGCGGCACCTGCACATGCTGCTGCGAGGACATGGGCGACGAGGAAGTTGACGAAGCCGTGCACAAGCGCTTGCTGCTGTTCTCATCCTCCAAGTCGCTACTCGAGCCCATCAACTGGCCATTCCAATGGCGCTTGCGTGTCTCCCCATTGACCAGCATGTTGTGCGCCTGTGCGCCATCAACTGTGCTGGTGTTACTGGACATATAGTCGCTGTAGTGGGCCTCCATGCTTTGCATCCAACGCGGGTTATTGTTGCAGTTGAGCTCAATGTGGTGCTGTTGCTGCTGTGATTGCTGATGTGGTTGTTGTTGGTGTGCGTACGTCTGTTGCTGCTGTTCGCTGCTGTAACCGGCGCTGAATCCAGCATCTGCCGCCCAAATATTCAGCTTGTTCTTGTGGTTCACTGTTGGCGATTTTGCATCGCCAAATATCTCATCCAGATTTGATTCAATGTCGTGCGCGTCGCTGCTATTCTTCACATCCAAATCTACCGGCGACTCACCGAACATAGCCTCCAGGCGCGTCTCCACCGACTTTTGCACATCCGAATCGCTGCTAAAGAACTCACTGATGGCCGGATGATGATTCGGTTGTTCTGCTTGCATAGCCAACGGTTGTTGACGCTGCTGGCTGCATGAGGAGCTGCCTATGGGCACGTTGTTGTTGCCGGCGTGACTGCTGTTACCGCCAACATCGCCGCCACAACTGCTGCTACTACTGTTGCTGCAGCTATTGCTGTTGCTCTGATTGCTCTTGTCAATGCAGCCATTGGGAAAGAGATCGGACAGATGATTGCCATTGCTCAACAGGCTGCCGGCGTTGTTATCATACAGATGTTGCTGTGACAAGTGTTGCTGATGCGGAGCATGTTGCAGTGGCGCATTTTGTTGCTGTTGTGACTGCAATGCCTCATTGCTCATCAGATTTAGCTCTTTTTGAAGACAATACCAGCCATCCTCATGATCTTCATGGCCGATGTTATTACTTTTAGCATGTTGTTGTAGCTGCTGCTGCTGCTGCTGCTGTGGATGTGAATGTTGTTGCTCCTGTTGTTGTTGTTGTTGTTGCTCCTCTTGCAATACATTGTCGGCGTAACAGTTCTCAGCATTCTTTACACCAGCTGCCTGCATTTTTTGCTCCACTTTCTTCATAATAAAACTTGGCGTCAGCTCCGATTCAATATCAAAGTTGTCGTAGTCCTTTTTGATATACCCAGGGTTGTCCTTGGAGCTGTTGAGCTGCTCCTTCTTAACAGAGTCACTCGCAGAGCCATTGTTATTGCTGCTGGCCTCCGGCTGGCCCTGCCATTCACCATTCTCCTCCCGCTTAACATGTTGCTGCTGTGTTTGTTGCTGCTGCTGGGGCTTGTTGTATGCCTTGTTCACATCAGCACTATTCTTAAGCAGATCAAACTTGTCCACAACTGCAGCTGCTGTTGTTGTCTGTGCTACTGATTCGGACACTCTTTCCAATGGCTCCGATTTGATTTCATCTTTAACTTTGGTGTCCATTTTCGGTTCATACTCGGGTTTTGCATCAGATCTCAGCTCCTCTTTGAGGTGCTGCTGTTCCTTCTCCAACAGCTCCTTCTCCGCGTTGCGTATATCACTGATCTCACCCTTCAGATCGTCTATCATCAGCTGCTGCACTTGCAACAGCTCCGAAGTGCGATGCGGCAACTGCAACAATTATAAAATATCAAAAATCTGTTTTAAAAGGTGGTCATTTTCTGGACTATTTACCGTCGACTCCTGCAATAGAATTTCCTGGAATTTTCCATTTAGCTGCCGGAACTTATCGCGAAAGCCCAGAGCAGTTGCCTCGAATTCCTCATCCTCATCGGAGTACAGCTCCACATCGTTCTCATGCATGCAATGATATCTGTAAATAAGCCCACAGTTAGTTTAGATATATCAATAGAAACACTTACTGCAGCTCACCTGATTAGCCTCTTAACCGCCTCGTCCTTGGTGCGAAACGGCTTCACATAGTCCGGCTTCAGACAGCTCTCCTGATCCACCTCCAATTGGCGCACAAACCTGCGAATGGAAAATCTATTAATTTATAATATAATATGATCCTAACTAAGTGTATTCAAGTTGGCCTCATTTCTTTAAAATCGGCATTTTTCAACCAACTACTCACAAGGAGAGGCGCGCAATTTTTGGTTTTGGTGTGGGGAGCAACTCCTCCGGCTTGGGCACGGGCAGAGTCGGCAAAAATACGGGCAGTGTTGGTAGCGTTGGGGCAATTAAATTGCCCAACGCTGTCGCTGTCGCTGCCGCTGGCGGTGCTTGCGATAACGGCGGTATTTGTTGCTGCTGCTGTAGCTGATGTTGTTGTGGGGGTTGCAGCTGTTGCGGTTGCAATGGTGGCATGGCTAACATGCCGCTTTGCATATTGCTGCTATTATTGCTGCTGTTGCTGCTGCTATTGCTGATATTGCTGCTAGTGTTACTGCTGCTGTTGCTGTTGGATAACAGATTAGTGGAGCTTGCAAAGATGAGCGGTGGGGGTCCGTTTTTTAAGCAGGTGGCGGGCTGTTGTGGCTGTTGCTGCTGCAGTGGCACAGACATTATGCTCGTTTTCTGTTGCAGCATGTTGACTGTTATATTCGTTTGCTGTTGTTGCTGCTGCTGTTGATTAGACGCATTGGATTTGTTGCGACATGGCTGCTCCTTTGGTTTTGCTTGCGGCGTTTGTTGCTGTTGCAGGTTGCAAATTGACGCTGGTTGTTGTTGTGGTTGTTGCTGTTTCTGCTGGGCTAGCTTTTGTTTGTTAGCCAACTGCTGCTGCTGTTGATGTTGCATGGGATAAATGTGTATGCGCTGAGCTACATTCAGTTGTTGTTGTTGTTGTTGTTGTTGCTGCTGTTGTTGTTGCTGCTGTTGTTGTTGCTGCTGCTGCTGCTGTTGCTGCTGCTGCTGTTGATGATGCTGCTGTTGTTGCTGCTGCTGTTGCTGCACATTGATAGCTGCTGCAGGTGTAGCTGTGCTGGTGGTGGAATGATTGTTCGGTTGCACCACATTTGCTAATATAACACCCCCCGTTGTTGGTTTCAGTGTTTCTGTAGATTGTTGCGCCTGCTGCTGCTGTTGCTGCTGCTGTTGTTGTAGCTGCTGCACTTGCTGGAATTGCTGCGGCATCAAGCTAAAGCTGCCATTTGCATTGGGCGTTGGAATCATACCCTCCGGCGTTGGCACCTCTTTGCCCGAAGCCAAGATGCGATGCTGTTCCGCAAACAAACGCTGCAGCGCCAAATTGATCTCTGCATCCGACATAGGTTTGTTGTACATGGAAATTGCTGCGGGATCCACATCTGGCGAAATTGGCAATGTGGGCACAAACGACTTGTTCTGCAGCTTTATGGTAAGGAACTGTATCTGCATTTGCACCGTGCGGAACACCTGCTGCATTTGTGGTGTCAATTGAATTGTTTGCACGCGCGAAATTGTGTTTTGTTGTGGCTGCTGTTGTGGTGCGGGTTGCGGTTGCTGTTGCGTTTGTTGTTTAGCCTGTTGCTGCATCTGCGCCGGCAATTGCAACTGCGTCACAACTGGCGCTGCTATTGCTACTCCACTGCTGCTGATGCTACTGCTGCTGCTGCTGACCACAGAGCTAGGCGTTGAAGTTGTTGCTGTTAAGCTGAAGCTGCCGCGTTGTTGTTGCTGTTGCTGCTGCTGCTGCACAGTTGCTGCTGTCCCTGTAGGTTGCTGCTGCAGTTGCTGCTGTTGCTGTTGCTGCATGGGCGCCGTGACGCCCACCAACTTGGTGCCGCTTGTTGTCTGGAATGGTTGTATGCTATTGCTCATTATGGTTGTTGTTGTTGTGGTAGTTGTCTGTCCGCCGCTGGAGCTGACAACAACAATCATCTGCTTGCCGCTGGCCACATTGGGCTGCACTATTTGCACTGGATTGTTGTTTGGCTTCTGCGAGAGCGGATCAAGCTTCGGCATGGGCTTGACAACGCTGGCATTCTTCAGACTGGCCAGCTCGGCTGCCGTCGGTGTGGTCTTGGGCTTACGCACAGGCTTCTTTTTGGCCACGGCGCCTGTGCTGGTCGCAGTTGTTGCCGTGCTGCTCGTGCCCGTCGCCTTTGCAGGCTCTAGTTTGGCTTTACTCTGGTCTATGATGGGCGCTACATTGGCCACCTGTTTGGTCACCGTTGTGGTATTCATTGTCGTATTGCCGCTGGCGGTTAATGTCGTTGTTGTTGTCGTGCTGATGGGCAGACCCAGGCTAAGACCATGCCCATTGCTGATGGGCTGTATAGGATGCACGATCTGCTGCTGCGGTGGCTGAGGACGCAATGGAATGGGCAATGTTGCTGTCGTCGTTGTAGCCTGCTGTTGCTGTAGCTGTGTAGGCGGCAAAGGATTCACATCGTTAAAGTGTAATTGACCCAGCTGAAGGCATTGCGCCAGCTGTTGGGCATTGATGCCAGCGGGCGCTATTAGCAGCCGCTCCGTGGGCCCAATTGATGCCGCCGTTTGGCCTGCGCTAATAGCCGTGATCTGATTGGACACGCTATTCAGGCAGAACAACTGCTGTGTACTGGGATCGATGGGTGGTAGAGCCACATAACGTTGCGCGTTGTTAACCTGCGGTTGCGGCTGCTGCTGAGCCTGTTGTGGTTGATGTGATTGTTGTTGTTGTTGCTGTTGCTGTTGCTGTTGCTGTTGCTGTTGCTGCTGTTGCTGCTGCGGCTGTTGCTGTACGAGCAATTGCGGCGTTGACGGCAATTGTGGAAAGTTTAAAGTTTCGTTAGTCTTAGCGGGCATGGTCGGTGGTTTAATTGAATTAGTTGTGTTGGTGGTAACGCTGCTGCTGTTACTCAGCAGATTGCTGGCGGGCGCGGCGGGTGTGGACAGCTTTCTGTTGTTAGTAACTGCAAATGGGAAGAGGATAGAGTTAGCAAGAGGAAATAGCAGATTCTTAAGTAATCAATTACCTTTCAATTCGGTCTTAGGCGCTGCTGGTGCTTTGGGTAGCTGCTGAGCTGCTATTGTTGTTGTAGACAACTGCGTCTGTTGCGGCTGTTGTAATTGCAGCTGCTGCTGCTGCTGTTGTTGCTGCTGTTGTTGTTGCTGTTGTTGTTGCTGTTGTTGTTGCTGATGTAGCTGCTGCTGTTGTTGTTGCTGCTGTTGTTGCTGTTGTTGCTGCTGCTGTTGTTGCTGCTGTTGTTGCTGCTGTTGTTGTTGCTGTTGTTGTTGCTGCTGTTGTTGCTGCTGTTGTTGAGGCGGGGGCGTTGGCGCTGGTGGCTTGTTGCTGTCCATGCGTGTTGGCTCATTGATGATGGTAACATTGGGCAGGGCGCCCTTGAGCAATGCTTGCAGTATAAGTTGCGATTGGTGATCCTGCGGCGTGTTAGGATCATGACGCAAAATCAACCGCTCGCAGTGCTCCGACACGGCCAGCGTTAGGCTGCCCGTCAGTTGCGGCACTAGCGCCGCTGCGGATGCAGGAGAACCCACAGAAATGGACACATTACCCGGCATGCCCGTGAGCTGTGGTGGCAATATAGTGGCACCACCTGCCGTTGTGACAGCTTGCAATGGTGCAGCTGCGGGCGGCGGCGTGGCCTGTGGTATGGCCACCAATTGCATCTGGCGGCCATCGCTGGACAGCTTTATTGTGGCAGTTTCCGACGCAGATGCTGCTGTTGCTGGCGTTGACTGAAAGACAAGTTGCGCTTGCTGTGCAGCAACTGTTGTTGCCGTTGCTGCTGTTGCTGCAGCTGGCACAGCACCGCCCATAACGGTGGCTCCAGGCGGCAGTATCGGCATTATTTGAATCTTGTTCTCTACGGCGCTGCCGACGGGCATCGCTGACTGATGATGATTCTGCACCTGCGATATCTGAATGTTGCCAATCTGACTGGGCACGGTTGTGGGCGTACTGTTGCTGCCATTGCCGGTGCTGTTGCTACTGCCTGACAGTCCAAGTCCGTGCGGCAGCAATATACTGGAGCTGCAAGTGCTGCTGCTACTCACAGGCGTTGTCAATGTGATGGTGTTGACAGTGTTGACGGCGCTGCTGCTGCTGCTGCTGCTCCCACTGCTGATGGTGGTGGTGGTGGTGCTATGGCTGCCAATGATGCTATTGTTCATATTGTTGCTGCTGCTGCTGCCGCTGACGCTGGCGCTGCTAATGTTGCTGGCATTGCTGTTCAGCATCTCCTGCTTTTTGGTGTTGCGCCGCACGGCGGGTTTGCGACGCGGCTTAACGGCTGCCGTTGTTGCTGCTGTTACCGCGCCAGGCGCAGTGGCTGTCGCTGTCGCTGTTGCCGTTGCAGTTGCCGTGGGCGTAGGCGTGGTCAATGTTATACTTGCCGCAACGGAGGTCGGCTGCAGCGTGACACTGCCAATGGTTTGGGCCTGTGTGCCTAGACTGAAGCTTATTGTTGGCGCCGGTGTTGTGGTCTGTATGCTGGTGCAGATTTTGGCACCAGCCGCAGCGGCGGCTGCTGCAGCGGCTGCCTGCTGGGCGAGATGTTGCTGCGCCTGCCGTTGAATCTCCTCGGCGGTGGGCAGGCGGGGCGTTGATAGCGTATACGGTGGTACAGTTGCTCCAGCGGCAGCGGACGACGCCGCTGCAGCATCGCTTGGATCAATCTTAATGAGGATATTTGGTATTTCGGTGGCTTCGTTGACCGGCGCTGGTGCCGGTATGGTCAGCGTGAAGGGCAGCCCATCGCTGCCGTTTTGGCTCGGTATGGAGATCATAATATCATTGGAACTGGGCCCCGTTGCCGCATTGACTGCAGCAGCTGCTACTCCGTTGCTTAAGGGCGCCGGTGGTGGTGGCGGTGGTGGTGCTGACAGTGATTCCTCAACATGATGGTTGTTGTTGCTGCCGCTGCCGTTGCTGCTGCTGCTGCTGCTGTTATTGACAGCAGCTGGTGCAGAGCTTGTGACTGCATCCATGCCATAGTCTTCGTCGTCGTCGTCGTCCTCCGTAATGCCGCAGAACTTCATCACATCCCCGAGATCTAGTTTGCCATTGCTGGCGCGTTGTATGTGTGTGGGCGGCGGTGATGGTGACTTCAACTGTGCCGCCTGCGTTTGCGTTTGAGTCTGCGCCTGCGGCGTGGGCGTTCGTGTAAGCGTCGTTGTGGAAGTAGGAGTGGCAGATATGGCGATCTTTTGCTGTGTCGTTGCTGTTGCCGCTGGTGGCTTCTTTTTGCGGGGCCGCGGCTTCTTCTTGGGCTCCACAATCTGTTGATGTTGCTGCTGCTGCTGCTGTTGCGCCTGCTGCACCTGCGTCTGTGTCTGTTGCAGCTGCTGCTGCAGTTGATGTATTTGCGCTTGCTGCTGCTGTTGCTGCTGATGCTGCAGCTGTATGGTGGCCATGGCCGCCTGCTGCTGCGGCGTCGGTTGACGGAGTGGCTCCGGTGTAACAGCCAGCGGTACATGCGCTGGCGAGGATTGAGCAAACAGCTCTGCGGAATTGTTGCCGTTGCCACTGGTCGCTCCCGACGTTGTGGACTGCTGAGGTGGCTGCGGCGTCTGAAAGGCGCTGGCAATCTGTTGCAAGTGCGCGCCAGACAACTGATTCAGATTGATGGTGGCGCCACCCAGCGTCTGTTGCAGCTGCGAAATGGCCGCCAGACCATTCGGCATTTGTATCTGGGCAATGCCATTGCCATTGGCAGCCGCTGCAGCGGCTAGCTGTAAATTTTGCAGCTGTGCCGCAACACTCTGACCCAGTAACTGGGTGTTGATGGTGGCCGTTGTGGTAAACGGCTGAGATCGTGGCGTCTGGGCCGCCAGCGCGGCATGCAGACCGCTTAGCTGCGTGCCAGTCTTTATGGCGCTTTGGAATTGACCGGCGGCAGCCGTCTGCTGAATGAGGTTGCCCTGCGAGGACACTATAAATGTGGGTGTGGCGGCGGCTAACTGCATGGTGGCTCCATTGGTGCCCACAATACGTAGCAGCTGCTGTTGTGCCGGCTGCTGCAGTTGCGGCTGTCCACGCGAATTCTGTATAACCAGCGAGGGCGTCGTCAGCTGTGGCGTGGGTGGACGCAATATGAGCTGCACACCCTGCGGATTCTGCTGCACCAGCACGGGCATCTGATTCAGCAGCAATTGTTGTGGTTGTGCTGCTGTCGCTGGCAGCAAAATTTGCTGCTGTTGTTGTTGTTGCTGGTTGTTGGCATTGTTGGCTGCAGCATTGAGCTGTGCCTGTTGTGGCTGCGTCGACTGCGTGATCTGCGGCAATTGTGCGTTGCTGTTACTGATATTCTTGTTCTTCGACAGCTGTTGCATTGGCTGAGAGCCCAGTTCCTGTTGCGGCTTAGGCAGTATCTGTTGGGGCGCCTTGCTCGCCTTCGTGGACGATGTGGACAACGCAATGCCTGCATTGCTGGTATAACGTTGCTGCTGCTGTTGCTGTTGCTGATGCTGCTGCTGCTGTTGTTGTTGTTGTTGCTGCTGTTGTTGTTGCTGCTGCTGCTGTTGCTGCTGCTGTTGAAGATGTTGTTGCTGAAGCGTCGCCTGCTGCGTGGTGGCTATGATTTGACCCTGAGGGCCCTGAATAAACTGAAACACTTGCTGCGGCGCCTGCTGCTGCTGCGGCCCGCTGGTGATGGTGAATTGCTGTGGAAGCATCTGTACGGTTTGAGGCTGCGGCGTTGGCGGTTTTATAGCCGCAGCAGCAATCGCGTTGCTGGGGCTGGGAATAGGACTATCCGCTATCAGCGGACTACTGCTCTGATACTGTTGGAACTGCACGTGCTGCTGTTGTTGATGTTGCTGCTGCTGCTGCTGCTGCTGCTGGTGCTGTTGGCTTAGCACCGAAGTGGCGCCCTTTTTCGCTTGACCTTTTGGGCCACTAGCCACATTTGCTGTCGCAAACGAAATGGGCGTACTGATTGCCGTTGCATTCGGTTGCCCATAGCCGCCGGCTACCGTCGAGCAGATTGAGGTGGGCGCCGCTGCGCTGGTGCTAAAGATTTGCTGCTGCTGCTGCTGATGCTGCAGTTGCTGCTGCTGTAGTTGCTGATGCTGTTGTTGCTGCTGCTGTCCAGTCCGCTTGTTGCCCTTCTGCAAAACGAATGAAAAATGTTAATTCAAGTTCGTTCATTTTGACAATCGTTAACTACACTTTGATCAATGAAGACCAGCGATTAAATCAGAAACTGAGGTAAACATTATTTTATAGCTTAGACGAAAGCAACAATAAACTGTGGGTTGATTTTAAATAAAAGCTTACTCATAAAGTTAATTATACGAATAGAATACAAATTATAAACAATAAAAATAATAAATATGATCATAATATTAATTTTAATAATAATAATAATAATAATGATGATGATGATAATAATAATAATAATATTAATAATAATAATAAAGTATGTCCTACAAGAAGAAAATTCTATAGTAAGCTACTAAGATCTTCTGAAGCCTTCTTCCTTAACTTTCTATAACTGAAAATTAGAGAGTAACAACAATGTTTAAATCTTCTTCAAATCAAGATTAAAAGCGGTTGAATAGGTTCGAGCCTATTAATAAAAGAAAAATTAAACTACGTGGGAAAACCGCTATTAGAAACACTTCTACAGATAGTGTACTCTGTTTTTCTTCGATTATTGGCCCCGCTCTATGGATAATTTTATCTTTCATTCATTATTAATTGCGGCGTGCATCGGAAATTGTGGCTCAGGCTTTTATATGCTCAGAAAACATGATATCGGTTTTAAGAAAACGAAAGAGTTGTAGATGTTTTCCTGTATCATGAGGACCTACATTTAAGATTTTAAGTCTTCTACTCTTAAGTTTGCACAAACCTGTTTTCCCCCTTTTACCTAAGTATTTTCAATAGTTAAAAATAAAATCATATTCAATTATTCATTATCCAGAAAAGTTAGGTAATTCTATGAGGTAATTCATTAAACTAGCATTTTATATACAAGATTGCATCAGCTTTGTATTAGAATGTAAAATTGTCTCATTATCAGTTATCAGTGCTCCAATTTGATAGGGATCTTATCTAATCAGAAGGGTTGTAAGCGGTGCAACTCAATTAAATATACCTTGTTCAGTTGTATATTATTGGAGCCGACAAGCGTGGCGTTCAGCTCAGTGCCGATTGCATTATTGTGGCCACTGGCAGCGGCGGCGGCTATAAGACCGCCAGCTGTCACGCCAATGACCGTCGTGGCAGCGGCCGGTGACTGTGAGGGACTCGGTTGAAAGACAACGGTGCCGGCATTGGGACTGCCATTTGTGAACTGATGTATGGATTGTCGCCTGCCAGGCGTCGCCGCCTTGCGCTCCTGTATGGGATAAGATGATTAATGGCTTCCATAGAGATAACCCATAAAAGCAAGTAAATGTGATTAGACTTACGTGTTCCTGTGGATTGCTGTTGGCGTTTATTGCGTTGCCACCGGCTACGAGCACCACATCCTGTGGGAATGGCGATAGAGATGGTGATGGTTGCAGGCGTGGACTAGCTGAGATCGATGGCGATGGACTGGGCGTCAGAAACGGACCCGGAGGAGACAATATTCCTGCAAATGCACAGGCAAAATAAAGAATTAGTACTCATTGAATATATATGTACGTATATGCATGTATACATAAGGAAGAAGTGCACTTATTCATTGTATTTTATGGGACCACCATTGACCCACTAATGTCAGGGTCCAGGCGTGTTTATTGGCCGACTGAGTATCGTGTAACCGAGGGGGCGCGATTTGTCCATAATGAACACCAAGGCAAGGCATAAGCATCGACAACCATTTGGGGCCAGCAATCTTGTACGTGACCAGAGAGCAACTGAAAACATCAGATACAAGCGAGCGACACACAGCCAACAAGCAACAGAGTATCTTTCAGATACACACTCTCAGGCCACACACACTCACGCATACACAGTCTACTTGTGTAAGTGGGCAAAATTGCGCGCCATTTCAAAGTTGTTTATTTTGAAGCTGAAACGCTTCAATTTGCCGCCGGCTGTGCCATCACCCGCATTCCGCCCTTGCCCCGTTCAACAGTTGCCGTTGCTGGTGGCTGCCTTTGTGCATACAAAACGAGGCAACTTAACACATTTCGAGGCACCAACTAACCAGCTCAGCGGCGGGGAGTGCGTCAATACAATCACATATTTTTGGACAGAGCCGCGAGTCCAACAGAAACAGAAACAGAAACCAAACCAGTTTTATTAGTGCTTGAAAAAGTTCTTTGCACTTCTTCCTTTTCAAATTGGTTGGCTTTCTTTTTTTGTCGCAGCCTCTACCCTGTTGAATATCTTTAAAGGGTATAATTTGGTTATGCACATAATAATCTAGCTGGGATCGAAATTCGTATCTGCTTTATGCAAAGCAAATTAGCTGTATCCGAGTAACATTATATTTTACAAATATTATTCGTTTATCTTACATCATTATGAAATTATACGTAAGATCATGAGAATCACATAGAAAAGCACTCAAAATTTAAATCGCATACATTGACAAGTTGCAAGCCGGAATTCAATTTTTAAACATTTTTATCAACAAATGAATCAATTTGCATATTATCGATTTTCATCCTCAAAATAAGAAAGGGAATAAAAATCTTTACGGGATATCAGAAACATTTTAAATCCCACCAAACCGGTAAAAAAAATAAAAGCTTGGATTTATAAGACAAATTAAAAAGAAACATAATTAGTTACAGGCTACCTCGTAGCCTTTACCACTCCTTATTAGAGTACACTTATTATTTATGCTTATTTTTTATGTTTTTGTTTTTGTTTTGTCTTTTTAATGAAGTGTTTCTTTTGCCAGCTTGCTTCGAAAATGTTAGCCAACAGGCAGTCATTTGTCTTAGACATTTAGGTCCGGGATGCGGTTAAGTTTTGTAGGATATATGGCTTGGGAACTCTTTAATTTACAACAGGTTCATAAGTTAAGACAATTTTCTTAAAACCTAGTACACTTGTTCATCAAGGGATATTACTTTATACCAGAAAGAATACGAGTGTTGTTTGATGATAATACGAAGAAACTATTTATGAAAAGTATATTAAGAAACATTGATATTCGGTGGATATAAAAAAGATTCTCTGAATAAGTTGACATACTACTGAGCGTAAACGCAATTACCCAAACGTGGATTAACTAGGAGGCGTTTCTGAGGTACTTTTTCAATTAAAAGTTCAATTTTGTTGTTGTTGCTGCTGCTGCTAAACATATTGTTACTGTCGATGTTACTCTTGTGGCAGCAATATATATATATATATTTATATATATATATATAGAAAATGAAATGAAAAACCAACAACAGAGGCGATAAATTTACATAATACCAAGATTGGTTGTCCTGTTACAACTACTGGGGGACATCCGTAGCAGCAGCGGCAGCAGCAGGTAGTATTCATTTGCATATGGCCAAAATGGAGCTAGCGAGCATAAGAAGCCAGCGAAAGGCATATGTCTGCTGCAAGGGTGGTGACGGGAGGGTTCTCGGTCGGGCAGACACAAAGAGCGCACGGGCAAGGTATAAAATGAGGAATTACGGATAAGGCGGCAACAGAAAAACACAGCAAAAAGCAGAGCGAAGGCGTAGGATAAACGAGCATAAGCATCAAAGAGCTGCCATCGCTGCCTCTCCACAGTCGAGACCTCCTCTCGCGGCTCGAGACGTTGTCAGCGATTGGAATTGAAGCATGAGACGAGGCCAAAAGCCAAAAAGACCCCCCGCCTGTCTCGCTCATAAACATACGTACGTATGTACGTGCATTTGTGTGTGTAGCTATTGCCGCCATTATCGACAGCAAAACAAAGCATAAGAAGAAGTTAACAAGCGCAACTGCCGTCCGTTTACAGCTGCCCAGAGCTAGCAGCGGGAGACGCCGTCTTTCACATCATTCAACATGTACACATACACACACACACACGTAACATACACACACATCCGCATCATCGCTTACTGTGAAATTGTCCTGGCAACGTTGAGAGTTTCATATTTTTAGGCACTGGGCATAATAATTTTCGTCGGTGCCAAAGCTCAAGACGTCTTTGCCGAAGACGAGACGACTGTGCAACAGAGCGTGTAGCGCGACCAGGCGATATTTGGGAGGCGGTGACAGGGGAGCAGCTGAAGGGACGTTGCCAGCAGCAACGTTCATCAAAAGCCGCGCCGCGTGTGCTCTTAATAACAATAAGTGTGCATCGGGGGGAGCAAAATATCCAAATACGAATAGAAAATACTTCTAGATGAATGCCTCACCATTATTGTATTTTTCAAACTGTGTCGAATTAAGGTGTGGCATCTTATAAGACGGGTAATTTTCCAATAACTCACGAAAATCAATCAATTATTTTTGAAACATTCCATCTTCGAAATGAATAAAGAAGAATGTAATTTCATCGTTAACAATTACTTCTTTATATTATAATGATTTTCTCTATATCCTTGTAGATGGTATAATATATATTTGCATAGAAAGAGATACTACCGATCCCATCAATTAAATAATATTCTTGATCAATATCAATATGAATGGCCGAATCGACTTAGCCGTGTCTATCTCTCCGTCTGTCTCCGTCTCCATGCAAACTTTTCTATCAGGTTTAAGACTATCGTCATAAAAACTTGCATAATCCGCCTTTCTGTTGCAGTCTGTACATACCATATGTCGGAACCCGCTACAATATGATATAGCTACCAATGTCTCTAAAGCTATCAAGATCAACCAAATTCAATAATTACTAGCTTAACAATTTTCCCCACACATCAGTAAGGGTATTTAGTTTTCGGTGTGCCAAATATAGCCGTACGCTTACGTTTATTGGTCGTTTTATTTCATTTTCTGAACATTTTGAAAATATTTCCATATATTAAAAGAATTATATTCATTGACTAAACATTCCATATATCAAATTCGTAAATTATCAAAGAATCTGGTTTAAATTTTCTTTTTTCTTTTTGCCGCATGCCAAGCAAAGACCCAATCTCAAGCAGACAGACAGGCGCATAACTAACACGAAACCTTTGTATAGTAGTTATTTACCTATACACACATATATATATATATATAGAAATATGTATCCAAATATATACATATGTAACTAAACAGCACATGCAGCGAAAAGTGTGCTTTCATGCTAACCAAAACCACGAACGCAACTTGCGCACAAAATTCAAATAGGAGTGAACAAAGTTTTTTGCGATAAATGAAAAACAATTTTATTAATGACGAACTTTCAATACGCTTACAGTAACATTCACTTGAATTTGCAATGCAGAACTATTTTAAGAGAATATATTTCCTGATCTTAATAAATACAAGTATCATGTTTCCACAATGAATGTAATGTTGGTGTTACCCAAAAGTTGGCGCTTTAAATAAAAAAAAACAGATTACTAAAGTCTATAAATAATCTGTGGGAAATTTTCTATGGTTCATAAAAGCATTTGCATATATTGAATTCATTTTAATTTAATTATTTATACTTTTATAATTGCTCAAAGAAGAATAAAATTAAAATTTATCTTTTAATTAAAGCATTTGTGTGCAATTTTTGATTTCTTCAATTATGAGTTTAATAAGTTATATCCAATGTGTACGCAATTTATAACGCGACATATGGTTTCTATTGGATGCAAATTTGTAGATCCTTCGAATTCAATTTCCCATAAAGAGTATAAAAAACCAAAGCGAAAATCGAGTAAAAGATGTACACTTGATATGCACGTACATACGTTCAGAGATACTCGAAAGTTTGGCTAGCCGAGACGCAAATGAACGCACGGATAGACAGCGAACGGTTGCATGGACGGTTGGATAGATGGATGGATGGATAGCTGGATGGTTGGATGGTTGGATGGTTGAACGGTTGGATGGATGGTAGTTAACTGACTGCCCGACTGCATGCCTGCCCTTCTGCCTTTCTGCCCGCCCATCTACTTGAGTGTCTGGCGAGAACAGAGGACGACGACGACAGCGGCTCGGAGGCAGGGCCAAATGTTGCCACATTATTTTGCATTTTGTGCAGAAGCATAAAAACTGAGCCAAGCGCAGTTTGGGGCAGGGGGCGGGGGGCAAAAACAGAGTCAAACGGCGGCTGCCCGCGCAGCAAGATGAATCCTATTTACGAGGCACCACTCACTGACTGACGCTGCACACTCTGTGTGTGTGTGTGTGTAAGTGTGTGTGTGTGAGCGCATCTGTATGCATTTGCTCGAGTATCTGAAAGTTGGTTCTGTGTGTGCCGCTTTGCTGCCTGTCAAAGTCAGTAAAAATTCTGTTGACACAAAAAAAAACAAAAAGAAAAGAAAGAAAAAGAAAATCGCAAAGGGAAAAAGGGAAAAGGGAGCACGAAAAAATGGTAAACTGCAAAGGTAATGGAAAGTGTATTGCGAGTAGTTTTTGCTTTTTGTTTGTGCCCCCGCTTTGGCAGCATTCAGAACTGTAGACTGTCGACTGTTGCCACAATCCTGGCACACAGTCTATCCTTGGGCCCTGCTGTTTGGGCCGTTGATGCCTTCAAGGCATTTGGCTTGTTAAGCAGCATAATTG